CTCTCCCCTCTCCCTCCCCTTCCTCTCCCCTTCTCCCCTCTCTCTCCCCCTCACCATCCATCAGCACACACTCTCACCCACACAGCGCTCTCCTTCCATCCCTGTCCTATTTCAGCTTTCAGGACTCTCACTTTCCTTTGGGGCTCCTTGGTGTTCACCTTATCTTTATTACCTATAGTAAAAGTGCTCGGGCGTGCACATGAGTGCCATTCCCTTCCTCCCGTTTACCCTTCCTCTGTCCCTCCCCACCCAGACACACATTGTGTTACTGGGTGGCTGTTTCTGTCAGCTGTTTCGCCTGACTTGAACCACTCTCACCTCAACCCCTAATACATAATAGATGGGTTAGCAAAGCTTCTCAAATTTTAGTGGGCACAGAACTAGCTGGGGAGCTTGCCAGAAGATCCCAGGGTTGCAGCTGGTAAAGGGTACAACCTAGAAGTCCGCGTGTCTACGAAGACTCCAAGCCTTCTGCAGCCGAATAACCCTGAAGGAAACGATCACTTTAAGAATCACACACAGGAAGGCCGTGGCCCGCAGGTGGCAATACGCTGGGCGTCTGACCAAATGTGGGCAGGCAGGTTCTTCAGATACTGTAGAGTACGTTTAATTTTCCTTCTCGCTCGCCTGGTTTCATCCCCTATGATGTTACCTGTCTAAGGGTGTTCATTTGAACTAGAGGCAGTGGTGTGGTGGCTCAGCATTGCTTTTAGACGGCTCACCTGTCACCTCGCTCTCTAGCTGCTGTGTCCCTCTTTCTCCCTCTTCCATTGTCTTTGCGGCTCTCTGACCACTAAGCTACACGTGGCCTGTTCCTCCTCTGAATGCCCAGCAAACTTCCAGAGTGTGTCCCAGCTGTGGCACTGTTAATAGTCGCAGGAGGTAGCACAGGGCAGAAATCAGGAACAAAATCTTTGAAATCGTCCAGATCTGGGACTGAACTTCACCGTGTCACTTACTAAATATTGGTCTTTGGGCACATAACTTAAATTCAGTGTAATCATCTATAAACTGGGGAATCGTACTAGAACCTAACACATGGGGTGGCTGTGAGGATTAAATGAAGTGATGCATGTAAAGAAACGACCTAACGCAGTGGGGAAGCACTCAGTACACATTGGCATCATCATCATTATTTTATATCATTACCTTGTACTGTTACTTACCTTTTAATGTGCAGACTTCTTACTTCTCACGTGGATGTAAACTCCTTTATGCTTGGTGTGTTAATCAGGTCTTTTACTTTCTATATTTTATAATGTTTTGACACTTTTAAAAAGCTGGCTGGCTGAGGGGAGAACCCAGCCCTGGGCCAGACCTTTCTTAGAGATGGCCACGGGCTCCGTTGGGATCACTTCTTTCATATGCAAACCAACCAATCCAGAATCTACAGCCGCAATCACCTCTTTACCTAATTCACACACCAATATTCCTCTGCCCTAGATACCAGGGCCTGGAACCAAGTAATTAGAGACCACCCGAATAGCCCCAGGCCCAGGGCAATTATTCAAACTGGTTAATGCTAAACTGTTTACTCTGCCCAGCTGTGTCTGTGGGGTCTCCCACAAAAACTCCAATGAGGACTTTCTCCATGCCTCCTCCTGCCACCTGACCAAGCCCACTGACCCCTGTGGCCCAGCACGGCATGCGGTGACCCCCTCTAGAGTACTTGTGGGCAAATACACTTCATCTGGGCCTTGTTCTTGTCTCCTTCTCTGGCTGCGATGACTTTCCCACACCGTATCCAATATAGACTTTCTGGGAACACAGGGCTCGTTTTATTTTTCTGCTCACTTCTTTATATTCTTCTAGGGGCTCACTGGGTCCACTGCACATAGGAGGTAACTCCAGGCGCCTCCTCTCAATGTGGACCTATCATGTGGGACCTTTGGGACATTTATGGTGTGTGGTCATAAATCAGAGAAAGGAAAATCAAGACATTTTAACTAAAGACAACAGCAATAAAATTGATTTGGGAATTCCTGTGAGAAGAGACAGTAGCCTCCATAGACATGTGGAAATATGTGCAAACAACTCTCTTCTATCCTTTGGAATGTTGCTTCTGATTTAAGACAATCCCACTGAGAAACAGTAGGCTGGTCTCCATTCCGGGCAGGCTTTTGTAGAAGTTGTTATATTCTTTAACATATTTATCATCAGCGTCTGATATTTTTCAATTGTGAACTAAAAGTGCATTGTAGGTAAAGTGGCTTGGAGGGATATTAATTAGATTTCCCTCTTAATCTTTTGAGAGGATGTCCTGTCAGCAATGAAGCATTTCACTGTTAATCAGAAAATCAGCTGCATGGGCTGGACTGGAGAGGAGATAAATCTCAAATCAGTCAATTCTGCACTTGTCAGCAGCTCAAGGGAAATATTTGGTGGAGTTAGGATATAAAACTATTACCCAGGAGGAAGATTCTATTCAATTCATCACACATGTATTGAACTCTTAGGTGCCAGACACTGTATTAGAGCCTGGGAATGCAAAGAGGTTCTGATTTCAGACAAGTTGTCTTTGAATCCTGGTTTTACCGGTTAACACAGGCAAGTTTCTTTAACTTCCTATTTAGTTAAGCTAAAGGCCAAGCTTCTGTCACAAAGCAATTCCATAACATAAGCTTGAGTCAGCTTGTCATTTATTTCTCTGTCTTATAACAGTCCTGAAGTGTGGGTCCAGACGGGCTCTTCTGCATGAGATGCTGCAGGAACCCAGTTCTCCCCAGTTTTGTGCTTTGCTGTTTCCTAAACAGACTGTCTTCATCTTCCTGGTGGAAGCTGGGTCACTGCCAGGTCTTCATTTAAGTCCCAAGGTCAGTGTTATAAGGCCAAGGTTCAGAAATGAAACACATCACTTTTGCTCATGTCCTATTTACTCAAACCCAGTTCCAAGGAGGGAGCCAGCTGCAAGGGACTCTGGGAGGGGTAGGCCCTGGCAGGGAAGCTCTGTGTCTACCTTAAGCTGGAGGTGCTGATTCTATCAGGATATGTTAAATCTCTGCCATGCCTCCTGAAACCTGTTTCTTGATCTTCAAAATGGGACCAATCATGGCACCTACCCCATAGGGTTGTGTGAGAATTAAAATGAGAAAACAGAAGACAGGTTTTAAGCACAGTGTCTGGAACATAGTGCTTAATAAATGTTAAAAGCTATTATTATTATTAAGGCAAAAATACTTCATCTCAAATGCTTGCAATGCGTCAGTGGAGAGAATAGCGAGAATAATTGACTAGTTTTGGGAGAGCACACAGGAGTAATTCATTTTCTACAGTGGAAAGAATAAAAATGATAGGGAGGATTCATAGAAGGGGTGACAGCTGAACAAGTCCTTAAAAAATAAACAGAATTTTTCAAGCAGAAAAGGGACAGCAGCAAATGCCAGCAAAATAAAGCAGCCTGGCTTGACTACAGAGAAGAAGAAATGGGCAATATTTCTCCTAGTATGATCCTTGAACCTCTTATTTTAGAAACCATCTGGGTCCCAGCCAAGGTATACTAAACAAAATAGCTGGTAATAAGGTTTTAAAAACTGCATTAAAAAAAAAAATCTAGCACAGCCTATTGTGATATACATCAAACTGGCTTAGAACATAGAAATCCTAAGGCAAAGAGTGTTAAATTTTGTGTGGATTACAAAGAACTATGCCACCCATTTAAACAAAAATCTTTCTAGATGAGCATTATTAAGGGGTTTAAAAATAAAAATGTCAGCCCACCGGGCGTGGCTCAGGGGTTGAGCGTCGACCTGTGAACCAGGAGGTCACAGTTTCATTCCCGGTCAGGGCACATGCACAGGTTTCAGGCTCGATCCCCAGTAGGGGGCGTGCTAAAGGCCACTGATCAATGACTCTCATCATTGATGTTTCTATCTCTTCCTCCCTCTCCCTTCCTCTCTCTGAAATTGAAAAAAAAAAAAAAGAGGTCACTATTTTCTATGTATTTAGGTCTAAGGTCAGCCATATTAAATTAACAAGTGTATGAACCGGAGGCAGCCACAGTTGTTATCCAGCACCAAGCTGAAGAGTGCACAGCGCAGGCAGCGAAACATTTGCATGTTCACACAGAGTCTGCAGCATGAGGCTGGTTCTGACCTTTGTAGCCATTTCGATGGCCAAGAAACAGTTCTCCCCATTAAGAGCAACAATAAGTGCGCACTCCTGGAAACTGCCACAAGCACGTAAAAAGCATATTTTTCTGAACGCTTAACATATAAGATAACAAAAAATAACTGAATACACGTGACCACTAACTTAACTGCTGAGTTTTCTTAACAGAGGGCTAGTTCTGCTGAGATTACATATCATCTTTCAAATTTGAGTTGGTAAGGAACTATCGCATTTCTTTAGCCTAGAACCTAAGAATATTTTCTAAATAACTACAGTGAAATAAATTGGAATAGGTCTTTTCAGCAAAACGAGAAATTCCAGTCAATAGATTGTTTTGTTTTTCTAATTTCCACTTTATTTTATGGATTATTTTATAAGCTGAAAAATGTATTATCATCTAAGGGTACATCCATAATACATGTCATTAAAAGCAGCAGAGAAACATTTTATATCCTACTGCTACTGTGACACAGGGGAAGCTTTACAGCGTGAAAGCTGAACAGCAATTAAGCTGCGCCGGTGGTTTAGCTGCACATCAGCTGTGCCGTGGGCCGGTCCACCGAGAGTGCGGTGTTAAAGGCAGTCGGCAGGCTATGAAAGGTTTGCATCTCAACCGGGAGTTTTTGGTGATGTGCTGCCCAACACAGTCCAAGATACTTTTCTTTAAATACCAGATTCATTTGAGTTATAAAAATAAATAATTTCATCTCTATTTTAGGTGAAAGACAACACCTTTGATAGAGAAGAAAAGCTATTTAGATCTTTAGAAAAGACTGTGAGGCTCTGTCTGAAGAACATTTCATTCTGTCTTCAACATGTACAGGTAAGGGAGACACGGCTGTTTTCAATGTTTCTGCCGGCAGGTACCGCAGTCCATGGTTATTATGAAGAGGGAATGTGACTGCTGGTGAAGGAAGCCATTATAAAGGCTTGGGTTTTGTTTTTTGTTCCCTTACCTGTTCAACCTTTCCCCCATCCAAATCGCCAGATTGTGGGACGACTGCTCATTTGGCTGACACATGGTACGGGTCATCAGCATGCTTTCTTTACACTAGACGTGAGTGCACCAATGCAAAACTGCAGACAAGGCAGAAATTTTATGTGTTTATTTTGTTTGACTAAATAAACTCCTAACTGGTCTTTCTACTGAATATAATTATAATGCACTCCAGTTGGTTTAAGTCTGATTTTCAACTAGGGCATGAGAGCCTCGTAGGGAACTGGAAACACGTATTAGCAAATTTGAGAGTAGAACTGAAAGAAAAAAGAAAATCAAAGAGGAACACAAAAAGAAATTAGAAGAAGTTATAAAGTAAAAAGTCCATAACATAAAGGCCATTTAAAAAACCCCATAAAACTCACATGTAGGTCTCAAATTTAGCTATATGCTACCTAGCAGCCAACCCCGCAAAGGCATGCGATCACACAATTCTAAGACAAACTGAGCACCTCTTTGTATTTTACAACTAGTGTTTCACAATGCCCCCTTTATGGCTCTGAATGAAATTTATATATAAATCAACCTTTAGGTAGGTAGGCGTACATAAAAGAAAATCAATATAATGGAAAATAAATTCTAACAAAATAATACAAATTAAAATATGCAAATGCTCTTACACAACCATAGTTAAAGACAAAAGTACCCCACAAATTTCCAGTTCCCTGTGAGGTTTTTGTGCCCTTGTTGAGAATCAGACTGAAACAAGCCCAGTGGAGGGCAGTGTAATTATATTCAGAATGGATCCCATAAAGAAGACAAAGCGTCCTTAACAACATCCTGACAAGGTCATGACTACGAAACAGAGTTACTAGACTTACATGCAAGTCAGTTAAATGGTGCCCTTCCCATTTTCCAGTTTTTCTCTTTGATATCTGTTTTTGGAAGCAAATGTTTGCACATTTAGATAAATTACCACAGCAGAGGATTGACAGGCACAATGATTTGGTGACAAGGTTCCATGCTGTGTAAATGCCTCTTGGGAACATCTACAGGAAAGTCTTCTATTGCCACTAGTTGATTCAACAAAAATGTGAGCATCTTCTCTTAAAGAGAGCATTAAATTCACTAAGGAAAACGGAAGACATAAATCAAAGAGGAGTGGTATTTAAAATAAGAGATCTGTAAGCATTGAATGCTGAAGAATAGCCAATGAGAGAATTTAAGATGGACTCTTGATAAAGAGGGTGTCCTCCTCCAGAGCACGAGGAGAAAGTGACATAGGGGGAAAGTGAGGAGACAGATTGTTGTGTGTAACCGGATTGTACAGAGTATTCATGAATTCTTTTCCTTCCTTTTTTTTCTTCCTGCCTCTCAGTGGGAATGGAGGGTTATGCTGATGAAGTACCCGTCTGGGATACGTGTCATTGTACTGACTTCGGAACTTTGCTCTTTGAGTAATTTTGTTCTTGGGTTTCAGGATGCCATGGGCTTAGCTCTGCAGAGTGTGCTGGAGCTCCAGGTGATTTCATGCACCAAAGAGGAGGAAGAAGGGGACCATGTAGAAGCCCCCAGTAATGCCCCAAATCCCTGTGATGACTTCGTAAGTTATTTATCTTCATAGGTAAATGCAAATTCAATAGTAGGGTTAAAAGAAAAGCTGCCTTTCATTTTTATTTTATTTTTCTGGTTAGAAATAAAACATGCACTAAAGCAAATATTAATGTCAAAATGAGTAGATTTAAAACAGGAGATTTTTTTAATCATTAAATATTTTAAAGTGGATTGGTGAAGATTTCACTATAATCAGAATTTAAGAGGGTCCTAGGCTATGTTTCTAGGGGTAGTGAGTGGGCAACTAAAATCAACATTTAGTTTAAGTCTGCATGTAATATAGCAAAGATTTATGAAGTTAGAAAGCTGTGATCTTCTTAGAGTCCTTATAGGAGGCATGAAGACACTCTCTGAAGATGTGAGTTTTATTAACCTACTGTAGGCTCGAAAGTAAAGCCTTCCTATTGAGAAAGGGCTTTTACATAAGAGTCATATATTATGTCTCCCGTTCTGCAATAAATATTTGTTTTCTAAGAGTTCTGTAAAATATACAGAATCATAAAACAAAGTTTTCGGAATCATAAAAACATACTTTAGCCAAGGAAATACTTGGGTGGTAAACTAGTCTGAGGAATACTAATTTTAATTTAGCCTCTTGTGCTCCATAGGTATTGTTATTACATAATAGTATTTCAAGTATTACATATAAAATATAATGGTCTCCTTCACCATCTTGCAGGTCCACGAAAGTGGTATTTTTGTGTTGGCATTATTGGCATTTTGGGTCAGGCAAATCTTCATTGAGTGGCCCTTGTGTTGAAGGGTGTTTAGCATTCCTGGTACACCAGGCTCTAAATCTCAGTAATGTCCTTCCATCTCAAGTTGTGACATCCAATGAATAGCTCTCATATTTCTGAGTCCTAGGAAGTGATACAGCCTCCGAAACAGTAGAAAAACACTGAGAAGCACCTTGCATTCCTGGCACAGGAACATAGAAAGTCGAGATTACCTCTGAACTAAGATGATTGATTAGATCAATGAGAGAGGGAGGAGGGGAGAGATTTTATGACATATGTTAAATGGAAAGAGTGTGGCTAGTTCTTATACATTTTCTGGGCTTAACTACAGAATGCATATTTTAGAAAAGTCCTTAAGGGTTTGCTCTTTAATTTAATTCCAATTCATTAACTAAGTCAATAAATATTTATTAAGTGCCATGTAAAAACATAGTATATAGCTTCTCCCTCATTAAGAATGCTCCAGAATTTATAAAATGATGGGACAAGGTGTCCTTCTCTACCTTGCATAAAACCACAAGATGATAAATTAGGATAAATTAAAATATCAGAAAATTGAACATAAAAGTAACTTTTTATAGGTAACATATTTTAACTCTGTTTAAAAATCAAACATCTATCTGAAGGTACACAGAGTTTATATCTAACCATGAAAGATACTTATCTATACATTTTGCATAGGATACAATATTAAAACGAAATCTGATTCTTATTTGTTCTGACTACAATTCCCATGCACAGGTAAATTGGTTCACATCTATGTCACACAGCATATATATTGTAATTATAGTGCAGTACTGTAACTGGACTACCTGTTGAGTCCAGTCACATCACAAACACAGCAATTTATCCCAGAACAATAAACAGATTCTTTGCTTAGTCAAAGGATTCATTTAACAGTCTGCAGGTGCATGTGGATTACTTTATAAATTAGACATCAAGTTTTATCTGGGTTGGCTATTGCTAGTACCAATAAAAGATTGGTTTCTCCTCTCTTCTAGATTTCCCTTGAGTTCAAAGTTACCCGAGGCCATTTAAGTTAATTAATAGCAGCTGCTGCTCAGATCTGATTCCCTAGGACATCTTTCGGGGTACAAAAGGAAATCTTCCAAATTGCCATAACATAATCACATAACCCAAGCATGTATGATAAAGGGTAACAGTGGGTGGTCAGCAAACATAGGATATTTGTGCCCTTCGGGATAGAAGGGGAGGAAAGAGAGATAAAAGAAATTTAATACAGGGTGCTCAGGGTCGGGCATGGGGCGGGGCATTAATATGAATTTCATTGTTCAATGACTCAGGCCTGAAAATGTGACAATTTAAGACACAGAATCAGCATCAGCTTAATCCTTCAATGTATTTAAAGAGGAAGCAATAACTCGGTGGCCGGTTGTATCACGGAATAAAAATGCCGATAACAAGGGGGGTACCATCTGCATAGGGCATATAATTCCACTCCCCAAATTAGCTACCAGGGTAGCCAGGAAATTGGGGCAGATGTGGGAGCGACAGGACACAGTCTCTTCTTCAAAGGCCGACTCTCTTCCTTCTATCGCCAGCAAAAGTGGACGGTGAACCGGTGAATCGTTCACACGGTCTTGCCCGTCACAGGCCTGAGACGCCCCTCCCCCCACGTGCTGGGCCGGGACTGGAAGGGAAAGTGTGGGAGGAGACGACCCCGTGACGAAACCGGCAGCTGCAGAGAGCGCGTGGGGCATATCTGGGGTGTGCAGGCTTCAGCTTTCCTCTTCCCCTCACTCTCCAGGTTCAGTGTCAGAGCCTAGGGCGGCTGCGGGAAGTCCTTGGACAGGTTTAGGCAGCCGGGAAAATGACCACCTCCTCCGGTGGCTTGGCCAGATGCTCTGCCGCCGCCCCTCGCGCTCCGCGGGCAGGAGGGAGACCCCTGGTAACGGCGCCGGGTGCCCCGTGACCGGCTTGCTTCCTCCTTTTGGCAGGGAGCTCACTTGCAGAAGCTCGTCCTGACGCCCCTGTCCGCCCTGCTGGCCCTGTTCCCGGGGCCTCAGAAGCTGATCCAGAAACGCTACGACAAACTGCTGGACTACAGCAGCTCCCTGAAGCGGGCGGCGGGACACGAGGCAGACCTGGCCCAGAAGGAGTTCGAGGCCCTCAACGCCCAGCTCGTGGAAGAGCTGCAGGTGTTCAACCAGGCGGCGCGGAAGATCCTGCTGAACTGTCTGTGCAGTTTCAGCTCCCTCCTCAGGGACCAGGCGCTGGTGCTGCAGCAGCTTCACTCCACCGCGGGGCCGGTAAGCACGGCCTCGGCCTGCGGGGTCTGTGAGACGCCAGGCCCACGCGGAGCAGCCTGGCCCTAGCGTGCGCGAGAGTGGTGCGTGCGCGTGCGCGAGAGTGGTGCGTGCGCGCGCGAGAGTGGTGCGTACGCGAGAGCATTGCGTGCGCATGCGTGCACGTGCGGTTTTTACTTAACGCGGAGCCAGTCGGATAGCCTGCGGCCCTCTCTATGCTCCACAGGAAGCTTGAAGAGGGTTTCGCAGGTCAGGTTCGCTACGACTTCCACGCTCGCAGTTCACGTTGGAGATTTCCTTTCCAAACGCCAACCCGCTTTCAGCTTTCCACTTCTCGCTCCTGACACCAGTGTCGCTCCGCCTGCCTGATGCTACGTTGCAGCCTCTCAGTATTTTGCATTCTCTTCTCATTCAGTAGGTTTTCAGTGTTAGCCATGACTCAGATGTGGACCCAGAAGGGAGGCCGTCTCAGGGTAATGACAGACGTGGGGTAATTGCCAAACTGGTCTTCGTTTGTTTTGTTTTCCTCCGAAGAAGAGAATGCAAAAT